TAGTTCAATAAAATTTTTAATGTAAGTCAACAAACGAGATGACATGACCTTTCACCTGTGACCCATCTCAAAAGGGTTAATGGTAAAATGTAGGCAAATATGAAAGGGGTTAAAGAGGACATTCGATATGTTTTTTGCTTCAAACCCAAATGATTTCTTTAATCAGGGCATTAACAACCTGACTGTAAGATGGAAAAGCATCATTGATAAGAATGAAGACTATTTCATTTATTAAATGTCTTGATATATAAGTTGTTTGGATGTTTTTATTTAAAAACAAACGACATTAATTAGTAGACCTCATGTTCCCAATCTAAAGTGCAACAAGGCACCTTCTTGTTCTATTACAACTAGTATGTTTATCACAGCTAAGTTATACAACAATCATGACTATTAGTTCCTGACACCAGAAGAGAGAGAAAAATTGTAAATAAATATTAATACCTTTTTGTGATTTTAATAAGTAGATAAGTCTTTTTTTAGTTTAGGAAAACTTATTTCTTGTTCATAATATGTTGTGATGACTTATCAACTTTATTATTGTTATTATATTTATATAGTGAAAATTTGTTTCTTTATTTCTGAAAAGGAAATATTTAGATATTTACCAGTCCACTCTGCTTCTGCTGTTTTGTGGTTGGCTACAGAATTATCATCCACCAATAAGGAGAAAGAGCTTGATAAAGATCTTTCCTGGGATCTCGTGCAACTATCTCTGGCCACGTTAGCTATATTACTGAGATATGAACGTGACCGTTCTGTGAATGAAGACTTCGATGAGAACTACCACAGTTTGGTACTTAACATAACAACTAGATATTTAAAATCCTGTTCTTCAACTACACTCTTGTACGATAGCCTCAACCAGTGCACCACGAGTAAGTTGAGAATATCAACTCAGTTCCATAACGTAGTTCTGTGTATGTTATAGTTTTCCCGAAAGATCCTACTACTGAGTTTTGTTTCAGATATTTGTTTTTATGTACACGGAGAAAGTTGAAATAGGCTGTTTCTCTAGGTGAAAGGTTCACTGTTGTAAACATAAAGTCGTGGTAATTAGTGTGTTGTTAGTGATTAAAGAGTGATAAATAGATCCTACTACTGAGTTTTGTTTCAGATATTTGTTTTTATGTACACGGAGAAAGTTGAAATAGGCTGTTTCTCTAGGTGAAAGGTTCACTGTTGTAAACATAAAGTCGGGGTAATTAGTGTGTTGTTAGTGATTAAAGAGTGATAAATAGATCCTACTACTGAGTTTTGTTTCAGATATTTGTTTTTATGTACACGGAGAAAGTTGAAATAGGCTGTTTCTCTAGGTGAAAGGTTCACTGTTGTAAACATAAAGTCATGGTAATTAGTGTGTTGTTAGTGATTAAAGAGTGATAAATAGATCCTACTACTGAGTTTTGTTTCAGATATTTGTTTTTATGTACACGGAGAAAGTTGAAATAGG